TCTGTTAAGATAGATTTGAGACGCTGGCCACATAACCTTGCCTTGTGCTATTTGTACCCCATTTGGCTGTGAGAATGTAAATGCTCTGACTGAAAGCCAGGAAATGTAGAGTTAAGGTGACTTTTCCTACACACAACCACCGTTTTGGGAGGCAGAGATTTAATGCAGTTGCAACTCTCTGAAGTCTGAATGACTGTCCTCATTCCAGCATTCCCTCAGTAAAATAAATAATAAACGCATCCACTCTGTGATCAGTTTTGGTTTGACTGCAATGATAAGGAAAAGATGCAATCTTAACATCATTCTAGTGTGAAAACGTATCTCTAAGTTTAGGAGACTGTGACATATGATGCTATGCGATACTGCATATTTCATCTCATTAGTGCGTTATTGGTTGGGAAAGCTATTAATCATGTTGATGTTACCGTTAGCATATCTAAAATCCTATGCAGCATTTATGTTAGGAAATTTTTTGACAGATAAAGGCTGACTCCAAAGAGCAATTTTAGCTGAAGCAGGATAAAAATGCCAATATAATTATATTACACAGAATGATGTCTGGACACTTACAAGCATGACCTTGTTTCTTTGTGACAAAAGTAATTCTACTCAGCAGTAGATATTTAACTTGTATTTGTCAGATACTTAGTGACACTAACTGTATTATAATGTCTAGTTGGGGTCATTTTGTTCACTTGTAGAGTTACAAATAAAGAAATATAGGAACAAGGCTCCCATGTGGAAGAAAAAAATATTAACTAATTTATTACTTGAAGGCATAAGAAAGATACTCCAAAGTAAAATAACTGCTACCTGATATTGACATCTTGTTATTTAAAGTAAAAAACATCCAGTTGATGCTATTCATAGTGTTATATTGCTTATAATCATTTGATTACCCACACAGAATGCAAAATTAGATGTTTATTTTCAACCCATGAGTTCACAGATTCCCATGAACTACCACTTCCAGTTCTTGATACACCCTCTATCCTTCCTTCTGGGGTCATTCATGTAACCAAGCAATGGGAATTCTGCAAACAAAAGATACAGTGAAACCTGTCTTAAGGCACTGACCAAAATTGGTTGCTTAATATAGGTCTAATAGTGGTAGAGTAGTACTGAACTCAATAGGCCAGAGGTGAGTCACCTTTCACCAGCTGAGAATCAGGACCATTGTGTTTGTGTTCTGGGATGTCTCTTACAGCTGGAAGCTGTCTGGGATGGTGGTCTCTTGTAAGAGTTTCATAGTCTTTTATGATAAATTCCCACTGCCGGGGTCTTTGTTCCTATCATCTGATGGATGGGGATTCCTCCAGCTTTAGAATTTTAAAACTATTAAATCACCTCACCAGAGGGCAGTGTACACCTGCCCCTGCTCAAGCATTATAGCATCCCTACTTCTTCTGCCCATCATTTCCTATTTTACTGCTGATTGTAGAAGAGCTATTTCTGGGTCAGACATCATGCAGTCTGATACTGATAGCTGATACGTGACAGAAAGTGTTTTCCGCAGTTGGTTGTTTCGTTTCTCCTACTGCCTTTCGGTTGGAATCTAAATCGCCTTGTGGAGCCCTATGTTTGTTTTAACTGTTATATCTTTTTGTTAACTGTTTCTTTTCTCCTTTTCACTTTTACACGGACATCTGTAAAGCAGCCCTGTAGCTTCAGACTTTGCTCTGAATGCCAGTATTAGATGTATACAGGCTTAAAAATCTCCAATTCTATCACATAGACTTTATATGAAACTGTGGAAGCAGAAAAAGAACTGTCAGAAAAGAACTGCAATGCATGACAGTTTGTTAGCAAGAGTCAGGCTAACTGTAGCCCTGATAACGCGAGATTTGTAGAAGCGAGGATTGTGTGAGGCGGGTGAGAAAGAACTGTGTGAGAAGTTATTGCGACCTTGTGTAGATAATATGGAATGTAGACTAAGAGTCTACATTAGTGAGCAAAACAAGATATCAGAATGACCTATGTATAAACAAAATGCAGTTGTTGCTCATTATTGTCTGTAACAAAAGGTATAAATGCTTGCTGTAATTGTTTACTGTTGAGAGAGACCTGCTTAGCTCTCTCCCTCTGCACAATTGTGAGAGTTAATAAAGCATCTGACTTGCTGTACCCAAACAAAAGAGTGAGAACTCAGTTTTTCTCCGACAAAACATTAACAAAAATCTGGATTGACTGAAGTAACAAAAGCAAACTGAAGGAAAACAAAAAGAGCCCAACCTTCCAGCATAACAAGAGACTTGCTTAAAGATCGTTGCTGCTCCTGCTCCCCAATGATGTTAAGGAAGAAGTGCCCCAGTTCTGCGTATGTGCACACCCTCCCTCCATCCCCTCCTCCCCCCTGTGTTCCTCTATCCTGTTAAATCTGTCCCTTCGGTAAATAAAAATAAGTCCAGTGAAAGTTGTAAGTTGTTCATTCAGGACCCAGTCTTGCATATACTTACACACAAGCAACTTTACTCTCACGAGTAGCCACATTGATTTCAATAGGACTGCTCATGTGTGAAGTAACTCCATATATAAATGTTTGCAATCTCAAGATCTAAAACAGAACATTACTTTTGGTTTCTTTTGATTGTTTCCTATCCCAATGCTTCTAATTTATTGGTTTTGTTCCTATAAAGGGTCAAATATAAATCATTCAGGTTCTTGATTTTCTGATTTATCATTCCTTCTGCTTTTAATTTTCACATTCTTTAAAGCTGTGAGCAGTTAGCGTCCCTGCTTTTAAAATCCATTTACTTGCCTACTAATGACTATTAACAAATGAGAAACCTCAATTTTTAAATTGTGATCTTAAAAAGATTTATAACTTGAGTCCTAATGACACCTTGCAAAGATTTCATCAGCCAGATAATAACTGAAGAGAAGAATTAAGTAGTTAAATTGAAGCCAAGTTATTTAATACCCTAACATAACTGGTGAATACTGATGTGCATTATAGGTCATTAACACTATTGAATGTCTTGGGCCTGATTCTTCTTTCACATTGTGGTAAATCAGGAGTAACTCCACTGAGTCATTGAAATTGTACGGGGGGGGGGGGAAAAACCCCTAGGTAAATGAGAAGAAAATCAGGCTCAATTTATTTATCATATAAAAAAAATATTTTAAGTAACTTCACTTTCCCCAGTCGCTGAAAGCTCAAGTAACAATGATGGCATTTATACCATATTACAGTTTACAAAAAAAAAAAAAAAAATCAAAGTTAAAAGAAGGTCATTTACAGTGCAATGTCATGCACTCAAAAGTTATGAAATGTTGGATATAAGGTTCCTGTGCAGTTTTAATTCTGCCCCCTTCTGTGTCTATCCTGTGCATAGAACGAGGGGTTCTGTGGAAAAAAATACTATGTGATCATAATGCATACACACAAAGGGGCAGAATTAAAGTTACACAGGCAACTTTAAATCTGGCATTTCATAACTTTCAAGTGCTTGACTTTGCAATCATAATAACGTTTCTTGCAATGTAGTTTTTATGTGTAATTTCCTAGGATTTTTTAATGTTAGTTGTCTGCCCCCGTTATTGGGGGTTGAACCTTCAGTACTGGAGCACAGACTTTATAACTTGAGCTACACCACTAACTACATCAACTTGCAGTAGAAGAAGGCTGTTTTCCTAGAGGAGAAGATAGGTTGCTGGGGGCATTTTTGGATGGACAGTCTGGCCTGACTCTCTTCCCAAGTCCTATGCTATAGCTGTGATCCCAGGTGTTCCATAGTACAGTGTGTGCTGCTGCTTTGGCAGTGGCATGGGCCCAGCACTTCAGAATGTTGCTGTTCAGTTATTTTGGAAGGCTGACTACAGAAGAGATGCAAAGGAAATGGCGACATGGCATCCCACAGTTTATATTTCAGCAAAACCTGAACCGAAGGTCATGAGACAAAGAAAAGGCAGTTGTCTAGCCCAAGGCAGAGCTACCATGTATAACATTCCTTGTGTGACGCTCTGTGCGTTTGGTAAAGCTGTCACACATTTGTGCCTCTCAGCTGAGATGTCATCATGCATCTGGCCCAACTGTGGGATGATTTTACAAGCAGTTGGGGCTTTTGGTTGCTGGAGGCCACTGTGGTGCTGCTTCTCTTGCTACTGCCAGTGCTGGATGAGGGCAAGAACAAGCAGCTAAGAGGCAACAACACAAGGTGTTGGAACCACATATCAGCCCCAGGTTCCCTCACCACCACCACCACCCAGCTCTCTCCAACATAATCCCCTAATAGACCCAACGCGCACCTGCTCTCCCAGGAGCTCCCTGCCCCTCAGCAAGACTTACACCCACTTGCTCCTAGCACCCTATCTACCTCCCAGGAATTACCAGCCCCTCAGTAACCCCAGCATCTACCTACCCTCTGGCAATACCATAACTCCAAGTATCAACAGTTCCAGTAACCACCCACCCAGTTTCCCCCTACCCCTCCCCTGCTTCCCATTCAGACTCCCTGCCCTTCTCCTGGGGTACCCTCAAATATCTGCCACAGCTGCCAGTTTAACTAAACTTCATACGCTCTTTTTGCTAGGGAGTGTACACTGTATGCGTAAGTTTATGGTTACACACAAATTATTTATCTGAGTAGCATAAAATATCACACATGGAGCCGAGCAAAACTTGACAGCAAGGGTGAGGGCTCCCCCCCTCCCCCAACCCCACCCCTCCGACGCCCCGCTGAATATCAAAGCCTGCTGCAAACAATGAAGAAATGGTTTTAAAGTGTTGAGTAGCCAAAGTATACTGGTCGCTACCAGTTCCCTCTATCGTCATCTTAGCGTGTGCACAACGTGCCTCAGGTGGCACATGACCAGGATTCATCACAGAATTTCGTTGCTGGTTGGATCATTAGCTTCCTGGGCCCAGGCCAGGTACTGATGGGGAGCATGACATGAACACTGATCCATGCCCCCACAGCTCCCTCTGTAATCTATATCATTAATGTATTTGTTGGTCTGAAATAAAGTGTATCACTTTTTTTTTTTTTTTAATGTAACAGAAAGAAGCCTGGCAGGAGCACAAGCGAGAATGCAAGTGTCTTAAGAGTATTGAGCCTAACTTTCCTCCTGACTCAGTGAGACTTGTTGGCAGGATTGTTTTTAAACTAGTAAGTGACATTCTGTTAAACATATCCTATTCCACAGTTACACGGAAACAGCCTTGCACTCTAAATTTGTAATGTAATTAAAGACTAAAAAGCAGAGGTGGCTGGGTGGATGAACAAAATGGAACATGCATTTAGCATTACAAAATCATTGATTAATTCCTAGCAACACTGGAAACATCAGGAAATATGAAAATAGACGTAATTAAGCTCCAGGGGCCTGCTCATGAAACGGTTGCAGAAGAGCAACGTCTGTTGAAGTCAATGGAAGTTTCTCTTATGCAGTGACTATGTAATTGAGTCCCAAAATTCATTCCCTCAGAAATGGAGAGGGAAGATGATCACTTTGGGCTTGATCCTGCACCATTGAAGTTGATGGGTGTTTTGGCATGGACTTTCGTGGGAGCAGGATCCAAGCCCCTTTTGAGTAGAAGTGAATATACAAGATTTTGCATAAGAATTAAATGCTGGTGGATATTTTCTTTTGGGGTGTACAATACAGTGCTCTGCAGACTTGTTAGCTTAGGTTCTGTTAGATTTTTCTGAACTCAACTGAAAGTTCTGGGCTTACAATCTTTCCACAATGGTGGTTCTCATATTAATCTGCATGGACTAAATGCTATGCTTACTTCAACTACCTATGACTAAGAGGTTGCAAATCAGCAAAGAATGTTGCCTTTTTTGTTGGCCCTAGTCCTAATGCCCTTATTCCCAGACCAAAATATATGTATTTGGTATAGTTTGAGGACTTAAAATATTATTTGTTATATTGTTTTGTACACTGTTATGGATGTATGTTTGGCAGTGCTTTTAAAGAGAATATATATATAAACACATACCCTTCCCTTTATATTAATTACAGTCACATGAAGTGAAAGAAGATTTCTAGTTTTATAAATTGTTCCCTATTAAGGGACACAGGGCTGAAGTAAATTACTAAAGATAAACTGCCAAAGCCAAGAAAATATATTAGTGGGAAGTGTCATAACAAAAAAAAATCATTTAGTATTTTTATGGTGGTTTATAGAATATGTGACATGAACAACAAAAGATTTATGTCACTGCTGTTACTGTTACTTACTTCACGGTAATGAGTAATTCAGGTTTGTAAAGTACTTTGGAGATAAAATGTGCTCTATAAATGCTTATTATCATGCATTCATTATTTTTGTTTTTTCCCTTCAGCTTGGACAATCAGCAGCATGTCCTTCTGAGAAACTCTACTCTTTTTCTGATCTTCAGTCAAGTAAGTAATCACCATCCACATGGCTGTAAATGCATAGTATAATTGGTTTGTTTTCTTCTGGCTCGCCCTTCTGAAATTCTGTTCTGTGGAATAAATCGTAAATGAAAAAAATCAAAGTGTAGAAGGGAATGAAAGACCCTCTTTGAACTGCTGAAATTTCTGTGGAAAATTAGGTTATAGTTTTCTACTGCTAGTGTGGGGCTTTTTGCACAACCATTGACTTCAGTTGGACTTTTGCCTGATTTAGAGTATGCACCTTATTTGTTAGATTTGTTTCTTTAAGATAACATCATATCTGCTAGAATAGGTAAAAATTTCTGAGTGAATCTAGTTTAAAAAAACAAATTCACACACTTTTTGGTCATAAACACTTTTTATCTATTTTAGTTTGTTGTTAATTTAATATTGCCTTTGTGCATAAAGATTCAACGGAACTTCTAATAAGAGAAAAATGAGACTGTTTGAGGCTCTTATTAAATGTTTGTTTTTCTGAAAATTCAGTGTGGACAAAAAGATCAGATTGTGTTTCCATAAGTTTCAGGTACTCATGGAATGGTTCTGCCTTCTAGTCTTTCAAAGTTAGGCTGCTTCTAAAATAGATAATACTGATCCTTTCAAGTCTTTGATAGCTCAGAGTCTCTATTGGTCTGACTTAAAGGGCAAAAAGTACATTCAGTTCAATTTATTGCAGCACAAGAGAAAATTAATAGTAAAAGGGACATTGTGTAGATTAATGTAAACATTTTGCTTGCCTTTTTAAAACTGTTCTAATTTGGCAAGGAACCATGGTCTAGATTTTAAGTAACTTCATATATGTAGCATCAATGAAATATTAAAAAACCCGAAGACGCAACTACTTATTATGCTATTTTTGTTTTTCTGCTGTAGTGCCTGCCATTGTATTCACCTTTTTGCATAATACAAGGACAAAGGAATATTAGTAAGGCGACCAACTTAAAAGTGATAACTCAGAATTGAAATGGATTCCTTTTATTAGCTAGTAGAATGCACTGCTGGATATTCTTAAATGAAGTGGTTTAGGAATATTCAAAAAGGGATTAGACAGTTAGGTGAATAAGAACAGCATTTACAATTACTCTAGTGAGATTACAACTTAAAAACTATTGATCCTCATGCTTCAGGAAATTGCTGGAATCAGTAAGAAATTTCCCTTCGTAATATAGTATTATACAGCTCGCCAGGTGCACAGTGGGCAGTGAGTTTCCTTTGAAGCATTGGGTATCCGCTGCTGCTATGGTACAGTCTTTCTTACTTTATGGTCTTAATTTCTTGCATATTAACTGGGGGCAGAGTCTGGTAAGGTATGGAGAACAATATCTCCTGAGAGATGCTGAGAGGCCTGAACTTACCTTGCCTTCATCAAAGTCAGTGAGAATCAGGGGTATTAGGAGCTGAAGTAGCTGAAGGATCAGGCTGAGTGTGAATATATGATACAGAGTCTGTGAACCTCTGCCAGAAAACTTGCAATAAAATTCTAATTTTTAAGAAAATCCAGGCATTGCACAGAGTGTTTGATGCCTCTCAATGGCTTTAAAAGGCTTGGTTCTTTTTAAGAAACTAGCAATGGGAGGCAAATCTCACAGATACATACATTTACTGTATCATCTGTGTCTGCTCCCAGAGCTTTAATAGTATGATGTCTGCTGTATGGTCTTAAACTCTGAAGTGCAGCTTACTCAAAAGCCATAGATACTAGCTGATACTGTTGCTTTCTGGAATGACACCTGGTGAGCTGTGTCACTTATGTAGTCTTGTCAAGTTATCTTCTATGTAAATATTTACTCTTGCTGTCTTAAAGCTTACAAATTCAAAGTTTCACCAATATAAAAGAAATTTTGAGATGGCAAATTAATCGTTGGTACATATGATTGCGTACTGAGTTTTTGATGCCCCCTTTTTGAGGGTCCCTCCTTCCAATTGTACCTTACCTCTTTGTTGCCCATTAGATTAGGAGCCACCGAATCAGACAGCGGCCTCAGGGATTAAACCCTAGCAGAGGTTTCAGACCCAAACTGGGAGTATCTCCCCAAATGGATGTAATCAGCTACAACTGAGCCTAGTTAGGCTCCAACACTTAGAAAGCTTCCCTGAGAGGAAAAGAGAGGGGTTTGCAGACCAGGAGTTGGGATGGTGAGCTGTGGAGGCATCAGAGTGCTGGCCTGGTTGTTTGAAGTTAAGACTGTTTTTACAAACAGTATTGTTTGTTTGGAGTTCAGACTGCGAAACTGCATGAGTTGAATATGGCTATAGACTTTGCTGGCTCAGGTTATTTTGGTTGAAGATGTCCCATAGAAATAAAATAGAAGCCCCAGAGAGGCTTTGTTTTGTTTAAGTGGGGCTGCCTGTAAGCATTTTCATTAGCCACTCATTAGCCTGTCACTTTCCCCAAAAGCAATTGCTCCTCACCCCCATTCTACACCAAAGACCATAACACGCAATTGCAAATAATAGCTTTGTTTTACTGCACTGATAATCATTAAAGTTGATACAGAACTTCATTACAAGATGAATTTGATTTGGAGAGGCATGGTCTGCTCTTCACATCCTCTTTCAGCTACAGGCACAGCTTGTAGACTGTGCCAGTGTAGACGGCCCAAAGCAGGTTCTGGGCGTACCATGAGCAACGCTTCTCTTGTCAATACGTAAGTAGTCTTGGACATGGCTGATGTTGAAGAAATGAAAGTTGAAGTCTTCACATCAGATATCATAATATATGGAGCCGTAGCTCTTCTCAAACAACAAGCTTTTATTAGGCAGAGCAACAAGCTACAAACAACACAAGCTGGTTTCCATCTTTGTTACCGGAGATCACGCCGTTTTCAGGAACCCTCAGTACATTACAGAGACATCTAGAGTTTGAGTAGCACAGCTGCAAGTGAATACTTTTACAGAAGTTAATATATTTGCCGCCATTTTTGTTTGCCACTAGGAGTTGCAAGGGATCTGTATAATGGACTGGTAGTACCGCTACCTTAATTTGCCATCCATCAGATCATTACTTTTCAATACTATTATGTACTGCCTCTTTGGAATGAGAATTATTTTCTTTGATTTAATATGTGTGTGGTTTATACACCCCCAATGTCACTTCTCCCGTTTGCTTCTCTCTCTCTGTATATATGTATTCTCCTTTGGGAGGAGCAATATATTCCTCCACCTCCTCTTTTCAAGATCTACTCTGCCAATTTCATAATCACCCAGAATCTGTTGCACACGCTAAATCTGAGATTAATGGTCTGGAATGTCACCTTGATCATCTGCTGCATTTGCTACTTCTGCATTACTCTTAATGCATTAGTACTTAAAGGTCTAAAATTGGTGAAGGTTCTACAGGCTATATCTCTACTGTGGTTAAATTTATCAAGATTCAAATCCTATATTATTCTTTTAAAGTTGTAATATATGCAGAAAGGAGTATACAACATTGTGTGCAAATACTTTGCTGTCTGCCTCCTGCTAGTGTCAGTAGGAGCTGCATAACTAAATCCCTGTCATAATATAGTAAAGTTGTCACAAACCTTATATAGCATTGTCTCTCCAAGACTAGGGTCTAACACAATTAAACTCATTTCTAAGCACACAGAATTAAGGTATTTACAAGTTATGTTTCACTTTGATTTTTGCCTTTGGTCTCATGATGAGTTGGGAAAAACAAAGTTCCTGATCATTTGCCATTAAATATCTCATGGGACTTTTTTGCAAGAATTGCGGGTGTCCTGGATAAATTCCAATTTGAGTAATTACATTCTGTTTCAACCTCTCTAAATTCTCCCTGAAGTTTCAGTTGGATGCAATATTCTTGTTCACATCTGTCCTAACCTGTAGTGTCCCTCTGCACTGGGCTGTTAAATTATTGCTGCGTTCTGTCATAGACTAAACTAAACTAAAAGGAAGGAGGAGACAGGGAGGAAGTGTGGCCCAGTGAACTGAGAGGAGATTTGGGTTCTTTTCCCAGCTCTGACATTGATTTGCTCTTTGAAGTTTGGCAATTCACCTAGCCTGATTTACAGAAATGCAGTGCACATGCAGCTCCCATTGTCCTCATTTGGAATTGTGATTTTATTATTTAATATCAGAATAATATTTACTTGTATTAGTACTGGTTTTAAATGTCAGCTTTCTTTAACTCAATCTTTATGTGGTATTTTCCCTTTCTATGTGTACCATAGTCCTTGTACCCTGCTTATTCCATTTGTCAGCATAAAGCAATTTGTGACACTTCATATGAAGAAAGTGATATAAAAATGCATCCGGTTGTAAGGAGGATGAAATTGTAGGATAACATGCAAACACATTTTAATTGTAACAAACTTAATTGACTAATTTAGTATTTAACATATTGTATCTGCTTGCACATCTGTTTTATCTTTAGGCTTTTGATCATTCACTCAGCATAATGTTTGTGATTTGGAAGTAGCAACTTGATAAACTCTGCTTAGTGATGATATGTAGCTGTCAAAAATAGTGGCATATAATTACTTTCTGTCAAAATTAAATTTGGGATTGGAAATGTCTAGATTGAACTGCTGCCATTGGACTTCTTAAAGATGTTGGCAGAAGGTTTTATTCATGCTTTGCTGTATTTTTTTCCCTAAGATATTGAAGAGTTAAGCGAAGAAATGAAAGAGGGTCTCAGGCACCTGGCACAGACATTGCAGCTTTATTTGCGAGTGGAGATCCAGGAGGCTTTTCAGCTGCTACCTGCAATAGACATTTTTCAGATCTTCGCAAAAGTAAGTGTTAAAACTGATTCCTGACAATTCTATCAATTATCTACTTCTCTTCTTGATTTATTTTTGGGGTTTACAACACATCCATCCAGAAAGCTTTCTGAAAATGCAGTGATATATGACATAATGTCAGAATGACCAGAAAAGTCTGTTCCACTTCAGTCATTATTTAAGCAAATTCCCATCCCTTGAACAGCAGTTTTTCTTTTGATATGATTGCTACTTAAATTAAAATAAGGAATTGCATGAAAAGGGAATTTTAAAATGAACACGACATTTTTGGTGTAATTTAATAAAGGACAAAGATTGAAAAATGACTTAGGATGATTAATAAGTCATATCTTTTCCAACTGTCTTGCCTTTTGAATAAGATGTTAGAGTACACCGTACTCTGCTTTATACTTCAGAATATTTCTGCAAAACATAATATCCTATATTTGTAGATACATTCATATTTCTGTTTTGTCTTTTTAATAACAAGTGTTAACATGTTCCATAACACTATTACATTCCTCAAATGGTAATTTCAGGTGTCAGAGACGGTAGACATAGATGATCTGGAAGAAGTACTGGAGTTTCATTTCCACATCTACTAAATGTTCAATACATTATGTGCTATATACCATTGACTTTTCCAGTACATATTTTGTTGCCTTTGTTCTAGGAAGTTTCATTAAACAATTCCTTTAGAGGTATTGTAGATGGAGAATACCTATATTTCTACTTAAGAATTTTAGATGGTGTTTTTTTTTCTGATTGGTTGCTAGTACATTCACATATACTTCAGCACAACTGATCTCTCTCTCTCTCTCTCTCTCTCTCATTCTCACCTTCACACACACATATTGTGTTTAACTGTTTTTACATTATGATGTGACCCAAATAACCCTTAGACTTTTTTAGTCCTGTAAAAGGGAGAGTCTCTTAATAGTTGCAGTATATAGGTCTTTTTGGCTGTTTGCATGATGGGTAGGGTGACCAGATGTCCCGATTTTATAGGGACAGTCCTGATTTTTTACACTTGCTATCTGGTCACCCTAATGGTGGGTTGAATGTTTTTGCAATGGAAGAAAAATTGAAAGGGAATATGAGCCTCATTATCAAATATATCGTCTAGATTGAATTTTTACAGATTGCTGAATTTGGTGACTAATGTGAATTGCAACTTTCTCTGGCAAACCATGATTATTACAAAGGTGAAATTTATGGCAATGAAGAAAGCTCACAGAAAGCCCAATGAGTCACTCAAAACCTCTATGTAATATGTTTAAGTTCCACTAAGAGGCTTTTGTTGTTTTGTGCAAGCCCTCTATTCTGGTATGAATTTTACCAGGTGAATTTCACTTGAAATATACATATGTATTAATCCTGTGAAGAGAATTGGCATTACGGCAAATAAATCCGAGGCTTAAAAGATGAGGCTTGGTTAGTGGAATCAATCAAGTCATAGGTTGCCGTGCTGTGGCCTTGTACATAATAGTAATCCATGAAATAGAGGCTGTAATGATACTGGGCCTCTCCCTGTTCTTCCCATGGACTTCTTTCAGAGCAGTATTGGACTTTTGCCTACAAATGAAAAATAGTTATTGTAAATCTTTTTAAATTTTTTTTTGATTTACATAAATAGTGATAGAATACAAAAGAGAGAGATTCCTGTGAAGTAGCTGGAAAATGCAGCCTTTAAAAGATGCACATACCTTTCATAGGTCCCACTTTTTGTCCTTTGGTAATGACATCGTACTGTCATCTGGCTTCTTCCCTTCAATGCATCCCCTCGTGGCTGGGCATTTGCCTTGGTTTCCATCTGTGTCAGTTTAGAAATGTGGCCTGTAGTGCTCAGCCTCTCTCTGTGGCTCCAGCCCTCCTCCTCTTTTGGGGTAGTAAGAGGTGAGTGCCGAAGAGTCCTGTAATGGGCCTCCAGTTGGTAGTCTCAGGCCCAATATGTCCCTTTCCCTCCCTTGTCAGGGAAAGGACGAAGGAAGTTGAAGCAGGAACAAAAATGAAATTCAATAGTCTTATGTTGTGACCAACACCCTGGAGCTTCAGCAGTCTCTATTCCTTTCCCTGGGAAGAGTGGTAGGGGGATGCAAGTCTGCCCTCTCCTCTGAGTCCCACCCTGGGATCTCTGAGTTGGGCAGTCAAGGACTGTTTGCTTACGTCTCCTGCTGCCTCCCTGGGCTGCTTGCTATCTCTTGCAGGCATCTTCTGCATGGTAACCTTCCCCTTGATGCTTCTGCCAGGGAATTGGTCTCTCTGGGCAGCTTTCCCCTGTCTGATGCTGTGGAGCCCTTTCCTGTAGCTGCCCTGCTCCATCTGGGTTGCAGCTTGTTGTTCCAGCTGTTGCTAGCCAGCCATTTAGCTGCAGCTGGAATAGAGATTGCTCTCATTATTAACTCTTTAGTGTCTGCTGCCATGTTGGGGTCTATACACCCCATCACACTGACCATCAACTTCTTTATAAAATATAAGGTGGCTGAGTGAAATAAATAATTTAAGCCTTTGTAAGATATTAGGAGGATTCTTAATTGTTTATTTAGGACTTTTTTTATATGCATTTATTCCATGCTTGGCAAAAACTGTGTGGACACTTGATGTTCATAGTTTGGAGAATGAGCAAACCACTACGAATTTTTTTTTATTTTTCATTTCTATATAATTTCTAGTACTTGGCAAATATTATGCCACCTGTTCCTCTCTCTGGTACAGAAAGGAACAAAATGCAGATATAATGGTGAACGTATACAGCTGGCATGCACCCCAGTGCAGAGCATGGATTTCTTAGCAGAAACTCCTGGGTGACTTAGTGCTGTATTTGTATATTTTTAAATTTAAAGTGCCTAATCCGATTCAAAGAAGGATTAGCTGGATGATGGAAAAGTTCAGATATATATTAAATAGGAAGCAAGTTTTTTTTTTTTTTTTTTTTTCAGAAGAGAATATAAGCCCTCATGCTTCATGGTTTAACTGAATAAGCTAAGAGACTTTCTTATGGGCAGATTATTCATCAATTCTCCCTTATAGGTTTTATTGCATCTTCTTCTCAACTGCCAGTTGCTGGCCGCTGTTGGATACTGGATACTGGCCTAATTGGGCCAATGGTCTGATCTAGTATGACAGTTCCTACATTCTTACGTTCCAGTGTTCCAAATGAGAATTTCTACAATATTTCTTTTCTTGCTTCCAACCTGGACTGAGACTTCATAGAATTGCAGTGAATTTATAATATATTTTCTGGGATTTTTAAAATTCTGGTTTTGAAAATGAAGGCTGTTTGAGTTTGCTTCTAGTTCTTGTACATCAGCATCTTATAGGTCATATGAAAACAAATAGATTGGAAAAAAGCTTTACTAACATTTATGAAACTGGTGCTAAAGGTCTGCAACTACATGGCTTGATAAACCTGTACTATTTATTAATATATTTATTTATTTGTATTTGTGGCAGTGCCAGGAGCAGGAGCAAATTATTTGTTTCAGTAGCACCCAAAGGTCCCAATTGTGAGTGAGGCCCCATTGAAGCAGGTGCTGTACAAACCCATGACAGAAAAGTGGTCTCTGTCCTGAAGAGCTTTACATTCCGTTAGGCAGATGGATACAACACATGGGTACAACAAACAGTAGGTGGGAGGGAATTGCAAGGTAACAATGAGATGCTTAAGTTCTACTTGGTAAGCAACAGTCATAGCACATCAGCTGCCTAATCACCGTTGAGTTTTTTGTAGGCAAAGTGGCAGAGGAGAGTTTTAAGGAGGAATTTGAAGGTGGACAATGTGGTGGCTGTATGGAAGTTAACAGGATCTCCTTCCACTAGTTGAGGCAGTGTGGGAGAAAGCACAAAAGTGCTTGTTTGAAAATTTCCCAATTGGGTGATGGAGATTCGCATCGATGGTAGAGCAAAGGCAGGGGTTGCCAGCTCAATATTATGTTAATTAGAGGACGTGAAATAGTCAGTCGTTCTTGATGTGTACCATAGCAAGTTTGATATGCTATGAGAAATGTAGATATTTTTGATGCACTGTGTCCCTGTTTTAAGAGTGATTTTGTTACCATTGTTCTGAATGTATCTAAGGCTAGGTCTACACTACCCGCCTGAATCGGCGGGTAGAAATCGACCTCTCGGGGATCGATTTATCGCGTCCCGTTGGGACGCGACAATCGATCCCCGAATCGACGCTCTTACTCCACCAGCGAAGGTGGGAGTAAGCGCCGTCGACGGAAAGCCGCAGAGGTCGATTTTGCCACCGTCCCTACAGCGGGGTAAGTCGGCTGCGATACGTCGAATTCAGCTACGCTATTCGCGTAGCTGAATTTGCGTATCTTAAATCGACCCCCCCCGTAGTGAAGACGTAGCCTAAGCTACTACTGTTATTTAAATTGTAGTTATTACTGCACTGGGACAATGTATATGCTTTTACTGTCAAATTGCCCAATCTCTGCCACTAGTGGCAGCTGGTGGCTGGAGCTGTGGGTCTCTTGCCTCTTCAGTTTTTTCTCTGCACATCAGGAGGGCCTCAATCCATTTGAATTTGTTTCTGCTCCCTTGTTCCTTTGCTGCTGTTCCTCCAATTTTATTTTAAGGTTTCCTTCCCGAGCTCGCTCTCTCTCTCTATATATATATATAGTTAAAGAAAAGAAGAATGAAAAAAAAAAAAAGAGAATTCCCCAATAGGAACTGAATCCAGAGACCACCCTGGAATAATCTAGTCACTGACACCACGGCGCTAGCCTGAAACTTTCCCCACTCATGGGGTCTCATTGTGAGGGGACAAAGGAATATAGGGAGCATAGGCTGACCATGCCATCAGCTGTAGTGCTGCTTATGTGGACTCATTACTGAACACAAGTGATGGTGGTTCTAGGAGCATGGAAAGTAGCTGGCACAGACCTACCACTGCTATGATTACTTTTTATCATTTATTATAAAAACTGGAATTACGGAAAGAAGGAATCTGAATTACTAACTGTATTGACTGGGGACTCATTAGCTAAATCCAACCACACATT